ATATATAGGATATAAATTTTAAAACATAGGTTATAATTTAAAAAGTTGTAAATTATTTATTACACTTTAAATATTCCATATTCTTTTTTTGCTATTTTTTTATTTAATTATATATTTTATTTATTTTTATTTAATTAGATATTTTTGAATTTTTTTATAATTTAATTTTTTCTAACAATTTTTTTCTTATAAAAAATTTGTTAGAGATATAATGCAGTTTGAATTGAGTCACACAACAAAACGTATGAAATAATTTATATTTATCCGTTTGGCGCGTACTGCAAAGTAATATAATTAACTATAATAATATCTCATGAAGCTTCTCGCATGCTTTTCAAATAAATTGAAATTGTCCCAAAAATGTCAGTATATTCTACGGATTCGCTAGAGAATATTAACGAAATTTCACCAAGGAATAAGAATATTTTACATAAAAACATTATTGGATCTAACCTAGTGCCAACCAAAACATTGATTTTTGATTTATTCCTTAAGCCGTCACTTTCATCAAAATCTATTGCTCCATCATTATCTCAGAAAGAAGACAAGAGTAATAAAATATATATATCTATAATATTTCAACATTATATTAAATAATCAATTCAATTTAAATTTCTAACGTTTTATTAATTTCATCATTTGATTTATCTTATCTATCATTTAAAAATTAATCAATCATGATAAAGTTATTGATCAATGTTAATATAAAATTTTGATGTTATATAAATAGATTACATATTATTGTATTCAGATGTTTAAAGATGATAATAATAATTCCTTTTTATATTTTTTTTTATAAATTTACGAAGAAACATTTATGAAAAGTTGAGACGGTGAATCATCGATCCATTCGAGGAGACTGACATTTGTCCTGTTTCTTTCTTACTGAAAACGTTTCAGATACCGGATCTAATGAAACCACGCCGAGTACCGACAAAGACACGAGGACAGTCGGCAGCAAGAATGCGATAATTGTGAACAGAAGACCCGTCGACGCGTCCAAGCGACGACATCCGACGTCTTTGGAGAACGGAAAACGAGACATCGTGGATCGTCTTAAGAGAAACGTAAGATCACGAGCATGATGAGAAACGTTTCGATTCAGGAGTTTCAAAATATTTCAAAAGAGATATTAAAGTGACATTTTAATTATTTTCTAAATTGTGAATAATGCAAACATGAATTTAATTCTATATTATTTTATTATTTTTGATTTGATTTATTATTGGGTTAATTCAATTTTTTAATCATAATCAGTTCAATTACACATCAAAAAAGTTTAATTTCAAATTTTCAATCGTTGAAATATATATTATAAATATTATAATCTGTTAAAAATAAATAATTCTATTTCAATTTTATTATTCTATTAAATTTCTTACATTTTATTAAGAATTTCGATAACAAATTCGTATTAAAATTATTATTAAATTATTTTCCACAATACTGTATAATTTAACATTTCAAATTATAAATTATTATTATTACATTAAAATTATTACATGAATATTTTAAATCAAACTTATTTTTATTTTTTAGAATAAAAATGGTTCAAATCGAGAGCAGAACGACGTCGTTAAGAAAATCGATACAAAATGTTCAAAACAGTTTTCAAAGGCCTGCCAAATGAAACAAAACTATAGTTCTAAAGATAGTTCAATATCTATGAAACCGAATAAAAAGCTTGGAAATGTGCTCGCCCCGGTGGTTCAGCAGGCGAGGAAATCATGCTCCTATTTGGAGCTCTATCGTCGGAAATTCAGTTAGTTCGAAACGAGATAATGTTCTTCGTTCGTGACCAACGCGAGGGTTTGAAAGGGTGCGTTTACGCAAGGGTCACTCTAAATGCTACTGGAACCATGCAATTTTCCTTCGGAGGACGTTTACTTTGATCGTGATTAGATGTCTTTTCGACACTAGTGATATGTATATATATACATATATATCTACAGAATTAGAACGTACGATGGACATCTCAGTCCTTTCTTGTTTGTTGGTTTTGCCACGGTTCTGCTTTATTGTTATTTGGACATGCTGAATCTCTATTTAACTCGAAGCGCGATAAAACCGCGCGTTCCTGTTTTTCCTTAGGAAGAGAAATTGTATTTGGAAAGACGACTATTTTTAAAAGGTTAGGTACCGAGATATATGTATACAACACCCTGGAGATTAGAATTCGATATAATTTGATATCGATTTCGAAGTTTTCTTAACTCGAAGGTTTTTAGATACTTAGAAGTTCAAAAAGTTTGGTGATATTAACGATATTATATTTTCCAAATTGTAAGTTTACTTGCAATCTATTAAAGATTTATTGTTATTAATGTAGAGATCATTAAATGTAAAAGTAATTAACGTGACAAGATTTTTTTTGTACATATAGAATATTTAAATTCAATACCCTAAAATTTATATAAAAATATTATTATTGGATATATTATAGATATATAAATATCAGGCGAGAGCAAATAAAAAAGTTATTAACGAAGAAAGGAAAAAATAAAATAGATAAAAAAATACTGAGAAAGAAACAATTTAGATTAATTCTCACAAATGGAATTTTCAAATATAAATTTATTTTTTCGATCGTACTTTTTTATCCTTTTCTTTTTCGAAAAATATAACGATCCATCGAATCAATGTTGATTGAATGGTATTTTTTCTCCAATTTTAATTTTATTTTCTTCGAAATTTAAATATAGATTTAAATTCATTAATATCAGCTCTCTTTAAATTGCAGCTTTATCACTCACGTTTTAATTAAAGATTCTATTTTCAACATATATAATAAAATATTAAATATTTTCTTTAAAAGTTTTTCCTTTGTCTTCTTTTACTGAAATTGTTTTTTTTTTTAGATTATTTTTAATTATTTTTTAAACAATAGTCACAAATTCTTCTTTACTCATTTAATATAATCAATTCTCTTTAAAAATTAACTCGCTTTCATTCGAATGTGTTATTTTCTACATATAAATTTTACATTTAAATGCTATTTCTTCATTGTTTTTAAATATGGTTTTAAAAATGTGGTTATAGAATAAAGATTTCACAGATTTCCGTTTAAATTAGTCAATCTAATTTTCATTATTATTTATATTATTTCTTTATTTCGCTTTAGATAATTAAATTTTAATTTTATAAATACATATATCAAATTTTCATGCGTTCAAGTATTTTTGAATATATTTAAATCATGTATTTACATTTCTATTCTACAGTGAAGTTAACTGATATATTGGATATAATTTAAATAGTATCAAAGTAATTAAAGTTTTATTATAATATACTTAAAAATTGAAAATTCTTCTTGCCACAAAGAATATCTTTCTTTCAAATTTTCCTTCAATCTTCCTTACTTTAATTTCAAAGCGACACATTAAAGAACAATCCGGCTAAGATGCATCTTCAGTTTCTCGTTGTTCGCAGGTGGACCACAATACAGCGTTCGATCCCCGGAGGGTTCCACCTTGTCGGTTTGCGGGGACAGCGAACGAGAGGAGCTCAGTGACAACGATATACGTACGTTGTCCACCCCGAGGGACGATCAAAGCGAGTTGAGTTTTT